TGTAAGATGATGAGGCAAGATCTCCTTACAGCCTGGACTTCGAAATGGCCTACGTACTAACCGAAGGATTGTTCTCTGCCTGTAGATATTATGTAGCTAACTGGCAATGTCAAGGAACGAGCGGAAGGTTTGATCTGCAGAGTTTTGGAAACTGCAGATCGTCCAGGAAGTGGGCAAAACCCTTAGAGAAGCTGTCAGCCTGCATAGGGGCCACAGAAAGTTGCAAGATGGGCAAGACAAAGGAGGTCAGGAACGTAAGGGCGTATCTTCTTTAAAAAGTAAATGGCTGGCTGGTATCCCAAATCGAAGCACACTACGCTGCAACTTTCTGTTGCCGATCCCACTCATCTGTAGGAAACCAGTTGTATGGCGGGTTTCCAATTCCTTTTCATATCTGAGTTTTCTCCTCACCCTTTAAGTAGGATTGGAAAAAAAAATCTAAAAGAAAGAGGCAGGGGAAATTCTAGGACTTGAAACAAGCTAATGCCAATCTTTCTTTATTCATAGTTTTCCATAATTAAAAATTATGGACACATATGAAATACAGGTAAACTTGATAACAAACTATAATGTTAAGACAATTAGACTGTTTTTGACCAGAAGCAGGCTGCTTCAATAGATAATTAGCATTATACTGGCCGTTTGCTAGATCTTGTTTTGTGCACAAGGTGGGGCATAAATTGCATAGACATAAGGGCTGCATTGATTGAATTTCTCCACAGTCCCAGAAGATTTGTCCTTTACCCAAGTAGCCCCATTTGCTTGATTATTCTTTGATCTTCCTACTTCACTTCGGCCTTTGCTTATTCTTTGATCTTCCTACTTCGCTTTGAAGTCTATTGAGTGACTTCCAGATGGTCCAGCTAGAGTCTTGTCCTAGTGGTGTCATAGAATCACGTGACTGTAATGCTTAGGTAGAGCCAACCAGCCCAGCTGGGAGCAGGGGAATAGCTGCTGAAGCAGATAAGTCTTGCTTTCTTGGGGGCAGTTTCTTCTACGCACATGTACGTGTACTGTGAACGCTGGGGAATAGTGTTTAGTTAGCAAGTGACCACTGCAGAATTGGCTTGGACTGCTTGCAACTTGCCCAATTTACTTTTTGGACTACAGCTCCCAATGTCCCCATGGTAGCTTGGCCAAGAGAGCCGGGACCCTGCCTATCTGGGCAATGAATCTAAATTCTGCAAGTGAGGTCTGTAGTGGAATGTTGCGGAGTATCACGCCTATCAAAAGCACATTCCTTGTTCGGATTGAAATGAAACAAGCAATTTGACCCTTGCATTTTCCTGATTGTTACTCAACATTCTGAATGCTTCTTGATTGTGTTATCTTCCAAGAATGTCTGCATGCATGCCCCCCTTTACGCTTTGTGTGTTATCTTCCAAGAATGCTTTTGGGGGTTGTCTGCATGCATGCCCCCCTTTACGCTTTATTTTTAAAAGAGTAGACTGTAGTTCTGCAAACTTTGTGGGGTGTTGTGAGCAGGTGGCTACCTCCCTCCCAGTTCTCAGTGTTCCTGTTCAGATGTCAATGGTCAATACCTGAATCAGTTATCAGAGTTACAGAGTAAACTGGAAAGCTCTCAGATGGAGGAAGTACATCTTGTGGGCCAGATATGGTCCCCAGTTCAATTTTTGAAGTCCCCAGGTCTGCATGAAGCTCTTAACCAAAAAAACAAGTTGATTCCAAGTTAAGGCACTGGGGCAACTTAAGTCTCAATTGAGTCCTGCAACTGGAGGCCTCATCCTTCCTTCCTTCCTTCCTTCCTTCCTTCCTTCCTTCCTTCCTTCCTTCCTGCTTGCTTGCTTGCTTGCTTGCTTGCTTGCTTGCTTGCTTGCTTGCTTGCTTGCTTGCTTGCTTGCTTGCTTGCTTGCTTGCTTGCTTGCTTGCTTGCTTGCTTGTTAATTATTTGCAAATTTCCCCCATATCTAGCCATTTCCAGGCCTGATTCAGCTGGCAGACTATGTCTGAGATGAAAATCTGGTCCCTAGGCATGACAAAAACATTTCCTACCCCTATTGTAGGAGTCGGATTAGATTGAGAAATGATTGTGACCTATTATAAGCAGAAGATGTCCGAGTTACCTTTTTTTGCCACTAACTCTCAGTATCCCCAAAGCAGGAGATTTTTGGCCCAGCGCTGAATATCAGCTAGCGTCCTGCACCCTGCAGAGCGCATTGCATACTGTTGCATCTATACGAGCGCAGTCATTTCTGCCACGCGTTGTCACCAGCAGAAGAAAAAAGAAGTTTTGAAGCTTCTGTTCAGTTCAGAACAGGGCAGACTCTGCTGAGCCCTGGACGTTACATAACCCTTCTGATTCACTCAGAGGGTGGCCCATTTGTCAAAGCATGGCGGTGGCGTTTTTGTTTCTGCATGTGCCTTTGTGAGCAGATACACAAAGGGCGCAATTGGGAAGTGTTTTTTGCCGGACCGGTGGGGGAAAGAACAGGCGTCGTCGTGAAAGGAAGGTGGTAACCTTTTATTCCCCCATAGCAGCAGGTCAGAGACATTGTGTTATGCCAGTTCCCCATGGAAGGAAACTGCTCTTTCCAGGAACAATTTAAATGCCTGGTTCTCTCTGTGTTGAAAGGCTTGCATAACCTGTGACTCACCAAAGCTGAGTCGGGCTTTGTAGCTTAGCTGACAGTTAAGGAGGTTAATGGACTTCCCAGGCTACCTAGAGACTGTAAAAAAGAGAGGAGGTGTTGAGCCCTGGGCAGTCCCATATGAAGTTGATGGACTTTTCTTCTCTGCAGGAATATATGGTATAGGACAGTGGTTCCAAACCTTGGGTCCCCAGATGTTCTTGGACAACAATCCCTAGAAATGCTGGACAGGAGGCTTCTAAGAGTTTTAGTCCAAGAACATCTGGTGACCCAAGGTTTGGAACCACTGTTGTAGGGATTAGCACAGGAGCAGAGAACCTATACAATCCAGATGTTTTGGACTCCAGCATCCACGAGCCCTGATCATCGGTGGTCAAGGGTTTGATGGGAGTTTTTTTTTTTATTTATATCCCGCCTATCTGAATCACATAGGACCACTCTAGGCGGCTTACAACAGTGACAATTTACAATAAAGAGTTATTGTCCATCAACAAAAGAACAGCTGTGTGTTGCCGACCCTTGAGGTTAGAACTTGGGGCCAGGAGATGGTTAAGCCTGCACTCAGATCTTTGTCCAGGTGGGCTGAAAAAAACCCACATGGATGAAAGCTTGACCAAATCAGTTGATAATCACAGGTTCTGTAACACCATTGTATGAAAAGATGCAGGGGTCAGAAATGATGTTTCTCTTGTTATATTACAGGCTGGTGTATGAAACGAAGTAGTCAGTCCACCAGCCCAACTGAGGTATTTCAAAATGTGAGAAGGCACCTTTTAGCAGAAATGAAAGAAGAAAACATTCGGGAGTTTCTCCGGTAAGTTTGATTTTTCCCCCCAACAGCTGTTTAAGGTGGGAAAATCTAGTGCAAACTGTTGCACAGAGTGTGAGAAATTTAGTGACTTAAAATCCTCCTAATTACACAGTGGATAAAAGTGCAGGTAGGGACCTACAGAGCAGATCCACTTCAAATCTTCCTCATTAGACCTCCCTTATTTTACTAGTTTGCCTCATCTGGCACTTACTTTCTCAGTCATTCATTTAGAGACACTGGTCACGAGGAAAAAAAAATAAAAACATTCCATATACTTAGAGAAAAATCAGGACAAAGCTGCACCGTCCTCAAAACAATACAAATGCAGGAACAGGTGGTACCTTTATTGGACCACAAAGAAAATCAAACTGTGCACTAAGTTTACTTATAGATAAAAACAAGCACCATATTTTGTGGGAAATAGTACCGTGTTTCCCCGAAAATAAGACAGGGTCTTATATTCATTTTTGCTCCAAAAATATATTAGGGCTTATTTTTCAGGGGATGTTTTATTTTATTCATGTCCAACAATCTACATTTATTCAAAGACAGTCATGTCATCATCTTCTGGTTGCTGCACAAGGGTGAAGGGCGGGGTTTCACTTAGCAGGGGCTTATTTTTGGGGTAGGGCTTATATTCTGAGCATCCTGAAAAATCATACTAGGGCTTATTTCCAGGTTAGGTCTTATTTTCGTGGAAAACGGGCTTTTGGTGCCCAAGTCATTTGAGTCTCAGAATCTCTAGCCAGCACAGCCCATAATCTGTGATTCTGGAAGATAAAAGTCCAAAATATCTGGAGGACCGAAGGCTGAAAATTACTGCTTTACCTAAAAGCATTGATTAATCATTGAAGCACTGAAGCTGGGTTGGCGTCTCTCTGTGTCTCACAGGGGTAGGGAACAGTCATGTGCTTCAATCTTCCTGAACTGATCCTCTGTTTTCCCATCCTCCACCCCTTGATGTCCACAACTCTATCAGTTCGCATGAAAGACTTACCGATCATCTCATGTAAACATTAACCCACTTGAAAATCCAGTCCAGATACATCAAAAAGGCAGTGGGGGGTGAGAAGGGAAGAAAGGTGTTTGATGTGTTGCAACTTGCCATAGACTTGCCTGCTCAATTGATCTTGCAATTGCCAGATGGTCCTTCATTTCAGATGAAAGCTACACTGCATTTTGCTGTTGTACAAACAGCTGCACTTCAGTTTGCTGTTGTACAAAGCAGTGTACCCATGTACAATGGCATCAGGGCACAATAATGTTTGCAGGCATTCAAGAATGTAAGCAAGGGCATATAATCATAAAATATGGAGTTGGAAGGGGTCTATAAGGCCATCGAGTCCAACCCCCTGCTCAGTGCAGGATCAAACCACTACTCTTAATGGTTAAGATGTTTTTCCTGATATTCAACCTAAATCTGGCTTCCTGTAACTTGAGCCCATTGTTGCATGTCCTGCACTCTGGGATGATTGAGGAGAGATCCTGCCCTTCCTCTGGATGACTACTTTTCAAGTATTTGAAAAGTGTTGTCATATCAAATGTCACTTTTGTGATAAAGTAAAACAGTCCTTGGAGAACGCCTGTCATTTCACTCAAGTAGATGTGCCATACTTCCAGAGTCCGCTGGTCATGTAGTCATAGAGTTGGAAGAGACCACTGAGGCCATCCAGTCCAACCCCCCGCCATGCGGGAACATCCATCAAAGCACTCCCGACAGATGGCCATCCAAGCCTGTGCTTAAAAACCTCCAAAGGAGGAGACTCCACCAGCCTTCGAGGCAGTCTATTCCACTGCCGGACAGCTCTGATGGTCAGGAAATTCTTCCTAATGTTCAGATGGAACCTCTTTTCCTGTAGTTTGAAACCATTGCTCTGTGTCCTAGTCTCTGGAGCCCTGGAAAACAAACCTGTCCCCTCTTCAACATGACATCCTTTCAGATCTTTAAACATGGCTATCATGTCCCCTCTCAACCTTCTTTTTGTAAGGGTAAACATTCCCAGCTCCCTAAGCCACTCCTTGTAGGACATGGCTTCCAGACCTTTGACCGTTTTAGTTGCCCTCCTCTGGACACGTTCTAGGTTGTCAACATCCTTTTTGAATTGAGATGCGCAGAACCGGGCACAGTGCTCCAGGTGAAGTCTGGCCAAAGCAGAATAGAGTGGTACTATCACTTTCCTTGATCTAGACACTATACCATTTGTTTCTACCCACATTTCTAAAGCCCCGTTCTGGAAATAGGAAAGGTACACAGAGGTCCAGCAGAAGAAAAGAGAAGGCAGATGGAACTAGGAAGGCATGGAGGGAGAAGCAGGAGACAAAGTGGTTCTGGAGCCCCTTGCTAGCGGAGAACTCAGGGGAAGGCACACTGGCTATGGAATTCTGGGTGTTATAGTCCCGAAACATCACTTTTCCAAACTCTGTTTTTACCCCTCTGCCACATAGATACTGCCAAGAGGATGAGATGCCAGGTGGGCTACAATAATTATAAGGTTTCTAGGTCAATAGCATCCAGTTCCCTGAGATTTCAGGGCTAAAACCTTAGACCTGGAGGCGGGCCCTTGTGATGTCACATAGATGGGACAGGCAAGCATTTGGATGGAGGCAGACCCGTTTCTCAGCCAGCTAATTAATTGTGCAACAGGCACAAAGGGAATGAAGACGTGAAGGCTTAGAACCTGGGTAAAACCTGGCTATGCAGTTGATATAGTGACCCAAATTTTTTGAAAGGTGGACAAATTCACAAATGCACCTGGCATCTGCAGTGGGAGGGGGCACCATTTCCACTAGGGCTTGCATCCCACATGGCTCCGCATACTGCACACATGACACATGGGGTGTTTTCACAGGTCATACACTGCTGAAGATGCTTCACCACCAGGCTCACTATCAATTTTCCTAGAGCTTGTAGAACAAGAAGTTTCATAAATCACCCTTTCCAACCACCTCCTCTCTCCTCTATCCTGGCTTTTTGTTTTATTGATCTTCAGCATGTATAACACACATACAGACAACTTTGCCCTAACCAGTGAGCCCTGGTTCGAGGTGGGAATGGACAGAGTTAGGCACTCAGGCTTCAAAGCTTCCTAAGACACAAGAGTGGGTCTTCTCTTCTGGTGCTCCTGGCTTTGAGATTTGTCTTCTCTCTGGAGACTAGGGACGTATAAGTGATTCCCTGTGACTTCCGCTGGTGTTCTGAGACCTGGCAACTAGAGATGGGCATGAACATGTTTGTCCCAGTTCGTCCCATTCATAAAGGCGACGGCAAAGGTGCTGCTGCTCCCCTCGCCCACCTCCTCAGCTGATTCAGCCACTCAACAGGTCTAGCTTGCTTGCCTTTTCCACTTCTCCTAGTCATGAGCAAGAGCACAGACTTATCTAGCTTGCTTGCCTTTTCCACTTCCTGAGCTGATCTCCTAGTCATGAGCAAGAGCACAGACTTCTCTGCCCCTTCCTTTTGTCTGAGTGGGAGATCAGCCAAGGGGGCGGGGCAGAAGAAGCCTGAGCTCTTGCTGGGACTGGATGATCAGTTGAGGAAGTGCAGGAAGCTAGCTTGTGAGTGGCTGGTTGAGCCAGAGGAGGTGGTGCTCCCGCCTTTACAAACCTGGACGAATTGGGATGAACCGGTTTGTGCCGGGGTGGCTGGTTGAGCCAGAGGAGGCGGTGGAGGGCACCCGTGCTCCCGCCTTTACAAACTTGGACGAATTGGGATGAACCGGTTTGTGCCCATCTCTACTGGTAATGCACAAAGACAAGATCAGGGTAGAAAATCCTACTGGGGAAAGGCTCGTTGACTTAACCTTGTGTAAGACTGTGTTGCTTACCCATTTCTTGACACTCATTCTAGCTCTTTTACCAAGCTCCCACATGTGGCCGGGACAGAACAGAATTTTCACCTGGCGAGACAGATACAATCCCAGTGGAAGGAATTTGGCTTGGATACAGCCGAGCTGGTGCATTATGACGTCCTCCTCTCCTACCCGAAGCAAAGCACCCCCAACTATGTTGCTATTACTGATGAACATGGAAACGAGGTAAAAAAAATGGGGTGTATGTGAGCCAGATGGATGAAAAAAGGCCAAGGGGAAAGAATTGTGAGTGGGACTAAACCCCAATGAAAGTGACGACCTATTAGACTTAAATGACTGTTTTGTCATGTGAAGTTGGAGGTGGATGATACACTGGAGAGCCAAGTATGAAGATCCAGGTTCTTATTTCCATTAAACTATGATGCTCTCTGGATGATCTTGGGTTAGTTATCCTCCCTCAGACTGACCAACCTTGGAGGGTTGATGTGTGGAGGGTCACTGAACTCTTTGGATTTCTCCAAAGAGGAGAGCCACATAGGCTATGAGGACTGGTTTATGCGGCGCTGTGGGTTAAACCGCTGAAGCCTCTGTGCTGCAAGGTCAGAAGATCTGCAGTTGTAAGATCGAATCCACACGACGGAATGAGTCCCCGTCGCTTGTCTCAGCTTCCGCCAACCTAGCGGTTCGCAAGCATGGAAAAAGCAAAAATGCGAGTACATAACTAGGGACCACCTTGGTGGGAAGGTAAACGGCGCTCCGTGTCTAGTCACCCTGGCCACGTGACCACGGAGAATTGTCTGCCAACAAATGCTAGCTCTATGGGTTGGAAACGGAGATGAGCACCACCCCCTAGAGTCGGACACGACTGGACAAAATTGTCAAGGGGAACCTTTACCTTTACCTAAAGGAAAGGGAGGGAGTCTTAGTTCAATACAGTCACTTGCTGTTAGCAAGGTGGTGGTCGTGTTCTTGGGTACCCTTTCTGTGATGTGTTCCCCCACAACTTAATCCATCATAAATGTGCTTGTATTTAGGAATTCTTAACAGTTCTTCTAACCAGAAGAAAAGTAGGTGAAAAAACATTGGTTTGGGATGACTGATAATTGTCATGATTTCCTTTTTAAAGGATCAATGAGACAGAATTATAAGATACAGTTGTCTCATATTGTCAGATAATTATCTTGTATCTTATAGAATTCTTTTGTTAGGCCCCAGTGCCCAGAGCAAGATGGCAAATTATCAGCCAGCTAGCTAGCTAATTAGCTAACTAACTAACTAGCTAACTAACTAACTAACTAACTTGACATGGTGTAGCCAGAGGTAAGTACTGTATGTTAAATTCTGGTGGCTGCAATCTTGTGCACAATGGAACAAGCCCCATTGAATGCCACAGTTTGTTCTTCAGAAGTGTTTGGGATTAGCCTATAAATATTTGTTGGATTAGCCTATAAATATGGGGTGTTGCAGGTACTTTAACTGTGGCTGGACTGTGGCCAAGTGTTTTTTTTTTAAAGTATGTCTAAATTTAACTCCAAAACCCAAACTTATGCCTGCTTGAAATTCAAAGAGTGGCATTCCAATAAGGAAACTCAGCCAGCTTTTTAAACATATATGAAAACCACTTCGGCGGCCTCTAGTGGTGTTTTTAATGTATTTTATTCTGGGCAGGTTTTCAATACATCGTTGTACGAGCAGCCTCCTCCCGGGTATGAGAATGTCACGGGAGTGCTGCCACCCTATAATGCTTTTTCAGCACAAGGAACACCAGTGGTAAGTACTAGGGAAAGCTCCTTATGTGAATCCTGGCATTTTAGGACAACGTATAGAAAGAAAATCCAAACTACTATAAAGAATCTTAAACCAAAGACCTGTGTGCTGCTTGAAAAGCTTTTGCACCTATTTATTATTATTATCTGTTGCCGCAATAGGCAGCTACAGTTGGAGTTTTGTTTTCAGCCTTGCACGCTATCTGTGTGAATGGGGAAGTGGTTGTTAGTTTGCTGTTGATCAATTCGGTTGTTTGCTAAGTATGCATGCTGTAAAGAATCAGTAATTTCTAAGCTGATTGCTTACACGATAGTAATATTTTAGCAACTGCAAGTAAAGAAATGTGTTTTATTTTTATTTTTAATTTTGCCAGAAATATAAAACCCTTCAATAGCCATAAGGTATATTTCACTAAATAACTAAATATGACTACATTGTTATACCCTTTGTATACCAAATTTTAAAAATGGTGAAGGACTTTTCAATGTAGTGCTATTTTTAGGTCATTTTTGAGGGCAGTCTCAGGTACTATCATGATACAGTAGTCTTATTGGATGATCATCAGTGCATGGTTTCTGCAGTCCAAGAAATGTGGACTGCAGATGGTTTTTTTCCAGCAAAAGAATAATGCTCTCAGTATAGAAACACTGGAGATGGTAAGAATTCTGAATACAAAATATTTTTGTTTGTTTGTTTCTTCTCTTGAAAAGGCAGATCTGGTGTATGTAAACTATGGGCGCACTGAAGACTTTTTCAAACTGGAAAGGGAGATGGGAATTAACTGTACAGGAAAGATTGTCATTGCCCGATATGGGAAAATATTCAGAGGAAACAAAGTAAGTCAGTAGCATCTCTATTATTATTATTATTA